AACATGGGTGTAGTTTGTCTTCGGCATGTGGAAAGCCAGTTTTTCCAGCAAAATTTACTAAAGAGGCTATTTTTCTTCCTGTGAAAGTGTTTGGCCCCTTTGTCAAAGATAAGGTGGCTGAGTATGTTTGGAGTTGTTTCTGCAACTTGTAATCTGTTCCATTGATCCTGGGGTCTGCTTTTTGTTTGTTTGTTTAAAAGTTTTTTGCCAGTACCATGCTGGGGTTTTGGTTTTGGTTTTGGTTATCACAAAGGCTTTGTAGTATAATTTCAAGTCAGGGATTGTAATGGCCCCTGCCTTGCCTTTGTTGCCCAGATTTGTTTCTCCTAATCTAGGTTTCTTCTGGTTCCAAATGAATTTTAGGATTGTTTTCTCTAATTCTGTGAGATATGCTGTTGGTATTTTGATTGGGATTGCATTAAATTTGTGTAACAATTTTGGGAGTATGGCCATTTTCACTATGTTGGTTCTCCCTACCCAAAAGCAAGGCATATCTATATCCTCTTCTATCTCCTTTTTCAGAGTAATGTAGTTTTCAAAATAAAGGTCTTTTATTTCCTTTGTTAGATTGATTCCTAAGTATTTCGTTTTTCCATGCTTTTCTGAAGTGTGTGATTTCCCTAATTTCTCTCTCAGTTTGTTATTTGTGAACAGGAGTGCTATTGATGTTTGTAGCCAGCTATGAAATGAATTTTCTCCACTGCTGATGGGAGTGCAGACCGGTGCAACCACTGTAGAAATCAGTGTGGAGATTCCTCAAAAAACTAAAACTTGGGCCAGGGATTTAGCTTAGTGGTTCTGCCACCTGCTTCACAAGCTCAAGGTCCCAAGTTTGATCCCCACTACCGGAAAAAAAAAAAAAAAAAAAAAAAAAAGAGGTTCCATTTGACCCAGCTATTCCCCTTCTTGGTATCTTCCCAAAAGAATGAAAAGCATCAGACTACAGTGATATATGCTCATCCATGTTTATAGAGGCACAGTTTATAATAGCTAAATCTTGGAAAAAGCCCAAATGCCCAACAACCAGTGAATGATAAAGATGTGGGTTTTTTTTATGTAGTGGGGTACTACTCAGCCATAAAGATGGACAAACTTGAGACATTTCTAGGTAAATAGGTGCACCTTGAGACCATATGCTTGGGACACACATGTTGAAATACACATTGTTTCTCTGGTGTGAGAAACTGAAAGTGTAAATAAGGACCAAAATATATAATAGGTATTATGAAATAGTAAAAAAAAATGCTCAAATGGGAAGGGGAACTGGTGAAAGGGTAGGGGGAATGGAAGGAAGGGAAAAAAATGAGAAGATAAGGAAAAAATAGAAACAAAGCTTTTGTAAATAAGGAGGGGAAGAAGGGTTGAAGGGAGTGGAAGGGAATGGGAAAAGAAAAATGAATCAAGATATATCATGTAGGGCTGGGGATTTTGCTCAGTGGTTCCACTCCCTGCTTTGCAAATGCAAAGACCCGAGTTCAAATTCAGTACCAAAAAGAAAAAAAAAAAAATATATATATATACATATATATATCATGTACAGGTACAAATTCTATATGATGAAATGTGATCATCATGTATATCTAAAATGTACCAATAAACAATTAATTTTTTAAAAAGACTAACCACATTCCAACCCCATGAATTACCAATTACATTTATAGATATCTAAAAGGAAGTAATATGTTTACAAAAAGACTTCCATACAGAAGTTATATTCATAGTATCCAAAGAATAGAAATCATTAAGAGAAACATATTCATATACTGAAGACTATTTAGCAATTAAAAGAACAAGCAACATGGATGATTCTCAGAAACATTACCCCGAGCAAAAAAGCTTTACAAAAAAAAGAGAATATACTGTATTCAAAGTCATGTAGCAATTTCTAGAACAGGAGAAACTCATCTGCAATGGCAGAAACACCCAAGGGGACAGTGGGTGCTTCTGGACAAAGTCGAGGCAAAATTAACTGGGAAAGTTCTTCTGAGTGATACTCAAGTTCGATGTCTCCTCAGAAACTCAGAAAATTTATACTTAACAGTTGTATACTATTGGGCATAGAGGACCCATGCCTGAAATCCCAGCTATTTAGGAAGGTGAGGCAGGAAGATTGCAGGTTCAAGGCCAGCCTGGGCTACATAGTGAGACCCTGTCTCTAAATAAATAATACTATCAAGGTGCAAGGAAAAATAAAGGTCTTTAAATTACTCGGAGATAAAGTCAAGGTAACTCTAAAAGTATTAATAGTAATACCTCTACTTGTAACCAGAACAAGTGGGCAGTCAAAGCCTTCTGAGTGCCACCAAAGGAATGTGCTCAATCCAGCCAACACCCCCATCAGATGGTGCAACCTCTTGTTAAAGCTATAGCTTCCTCTTTGCCTTCAAATCTGCTAACAAACAACACATGAAGCAAACCAGTCTCTAGAAGAAAGTTATGGCAAGGTCTTGATCTCTCTAAAAAAAAAAGAAAGAAAATGAACCCCACACTCAAAAGATTGAGGCAGAAGGATTCCCATTGAGTTCAAGGCCCTCCTGGGCTACTTAGTGAGTTCAAGGCCGTACTGAACTACAAAGCAAGACCCTGTCTCAACCCCCATCCTCCAGAAAAAGAAAAGGACAATTTTACATTTACAGAACCCAACCTAGAAAAAGAATATTTAAGGGCCAGGGATTTAGCTCAGGGCCGCCTGCCTCACAAACTCAAGGTCCTGAGTTCAATCCCTGGTACCAAAAAAAAAAGAGTATTTATCTTTGTAGTTTAAAAAAAAAAAAGCACAGCCAGATCTTAAATCCTGTCTCTGCCTGTGGCCATACTTCAGTAACAAACAGAGCCTTGAAAAACCCCAAGGAAAGGCAAAAGAAAGGGCTGGGGATTTAGTTCGAAGGTAGAGCAACCCCCAGTACCCCAGAAATAAATAATAATTTTTAAAACAAAGTGTTTTCATCAATAGAGAACTAGTCACCAGATAAATGCAATGATTACAGCTACAAAAATCAGTGAAGCTGGGTGTGATGGCACATATCTGTAATTTCAGCATTTTAAGAGGTTGAGGAAGAAGAATCACAAATTCAAGCCCAGCCTAGCAACTTACTAAGAACTAATCTCAAACATCTATCAAAAAAAGCGGGAGGTGGGGTAGGGTCAGGGATGTAACATGAATGCCCTGAGTTCAATCCCCAGTACCAGGGAAAAAAGGGGGGGAAAAGTCAATGAAGCACTTCTCTGAATACTGACATTATAATATAAAAACAGCAAGGTTTAGAACAAGAATGAGAGAAATATATTTTTAAGTTTTTATTTGCACAAAATATGGCTCTAAAAATGCATAACCTACAAATCTTGCTCACCTCAAGACAGGGGAAGTGAAGGACAAGGGTGACAGGGAGTTTCTTCACTCTTCTGTACCTCTTAAGTTTGTATCGTGTGAATTTTCTTAACTGATTTCAAATTATGCCAGGCACAGTGTTGCACGCCTATAATTGCAGCACTCAGGAGGCTAAAGCGGGAGGATGGCTGTAAGTTCAAGGCCAGCCTGGACAATGTAGCAAGACCATCTCAAAAAATAAAAATCAGTACTGTATTATGTTAATGGCTATTAATATTTTTTTTAAACCCTGTAAGCAGGCATAGTGGTAAACAAGGCACAGTGATATTAATCAGGAGGATTACAAATTTTAAATCACCCTGGGCTACATCACATACTGAGACCTTGTCTCAACATAATAAAACAAAAACTTTCCATATGCCTCAGTTTGCTCTTCTGCAAACAGGCAAAAATGACAATCATTACTTAGGAGATATTGTTAGGCAGATAGTTAGCCATTAGCGAGCCTGAGGGAGAAAGGAGAGTCCAGAATAGTAGAGTTAAGGAAAAAACAGAGACCTCAGTGTGTAACACATTTATAATCACTTGTTAGGCCTCAGACCAAAGTGACTCCACAGAGCACAAGATACATTCCTTCCAATCCCTGTGTGCCAGAGCCGATGCCCAATGGTATCAGAAAAGGAACATTACTTAAAGATTCTCCCTCCTTGGTCTAAGATTTTATTTAAATTAGCATTTTTTTTCTTTCATAAATTTCCTTCCTAAATTTTAAGGCCCCCAGGCTAAGTATGTTGGTGCATGCCTGTGATCCTTGCACTCAAGAAGTTGAGGTGAATTCAAGGCCAGTATGGACTATACCAGTGAGTTCAAAGCCAGCCAGAACTACATAGGGAAACCTTGTCCAAAAAAGATTTAAAAAAAAAGAAAAAAAAAGATTTTGAGGCTTCCAAACAAGAAAGAAATAAAGATTAAAGCCCCTGACAGAACCCTGACCATACGAAAAAAACAAGAAAGATATTTTTGAGACACTGACATTCCAAAATAACCTCTAAGAAAAATGTCTATAACCATCAAAATGACCACAGTTCTCTTAACCCCAGGAATAAAGCTTCTTTTTTTCCTTCTTTAGGTTTTTTAAAACAGGTCTCACTATGTAACCCAGGCCGGACGTGAATGCAAGGTGATCCTTCTGCCTCAGCCTCCCAAGTGCTGTGACTACAGGCATGCACCACCATTCCTGGCAGCCCAGAGCAACTCTTGTAAACATAAAAAGGTACCCAAACTCACTACCCATCTTCTCACTTGAAGGCATAATTCTCCATCTGCTTTATAATAAAGTCTACCCATAGCTCTGTATGGGTACCCACCATACAAGTCTTGACTGAAATCGTTCATCAAGGCACAAAGAACCGAAGATCAAAGAGCAAGGGGCCAGTTCCTCATGGGTATGTGATCTGCACAATTTCTGACCCACTTTCTATCCAGTGAGAGTACCTTTGCTTTGCCACTTGTCACTCCTTCCCCATGCCTGGCACTGTGTTGTACAACAGCAGTCACTGAGGAACCACTGGTAAAATGAGTAGACAAGATCACAGACATGTGGAAGCATCTCCAGACTTCACACAGCTGCCATGCGGACATATTTTTAGGGCTCGATTACGTTTATACTTACAGGGATGCTCCAGACCTGCATTCCATCACTGTAGCCAATCATAACCAAAAATGGTGGTTCATTCCCAGTGCTATGTATTTCATGAAATTCGAGATTTCTTGATGTATCTATGTTAGAATTAAATAACAAAGAAGAAAATGTAAAACACAATTATCAATCAAGAAAACAACTGTGCTGCCAGGCATGATGGTACATGCCTATAATCCCATTTACTTGGGAGGCTGAGGCAGAAAGATCATAAATTCAAGCCTAGCCTAGGCAATTTTAGTGACTCAATAGACACTATCACAAAATAAAATATTTTTAAAAGGGCTGCGGATGTAGTTTAGTTCAAAGACCCTGGGTTCAATCCATAGCACCACCAGGGGTGAAAAAAATCCCACAGTTAAGACATGATGGACCATGCTTGTAATGCCAAATTCAAAGCTAGCCTGGCCAACTTAGTGAGACACCATCTCAAAATAAAAAGGATAGGGGACGTAGCTCATAACTCTCAGGGAGCAGAAGGGTAGGGGGTGGTACACAACAGAGGCTGAAGATGTAGCTCAGTGCTAGTGACCTTGCCAAAAATATAATTAAGCCTGGTACCACTAAATAAATAAACAAATATCAATATGAGAAAGACATCAAATTTTAGAAAAATAGGGAAGACACATATAGAAGACCTTCATTAAGAAAGATATTCAAAGGCTAAACAGGAAACACACCTCAACATCACTTGTAATCAGAGAAGTGCTAATTAAAACCAGTGACTTAGAAGCTGTTTCTTCAGCAGAGTATGGCAGTACATGCTTCTAACTCAGCACTATGGGAAGCTGAGGCACAGGGACAGAAAATTCAAGACCAGCTGGGTAACTCAGTGACTTAGCAAGACCTTGTCTCAAAATAAAAAATAAAAAGGGCTGGGAATGTAGCTCAGTGTGAAGACCATGGGTTCAATCCTCAGCCCCAAAAAGGGGAAGAAGAGAGGAGGAGGAAGAAGAGGAGAAGGGGGAGGAGGAAGCAGAAGAACAGCAGCAGCAGCTTATTATTCATTGCTGCACGTAAATCGGGAGGACCAGTTTAAAAATAATTTAGGGCCAGGTGTGGTGGCACAGACTATAATCCTTGCACTGCAGGCGAAGGCAGGAGGATCTCAAATTCAAAGCCAGCCTGGAATGCATGAGGAGATTCTGTCTCAAAAATCCAAAAAACAGAAAGAGAAAAAGAAGGTTTAGTAATGTACTCTGGTTAAAAATGCACATACGTTTTGACCAAATAGTTCCAATCTAGGTATATACTCATCAGAAGTCTAAGCACAGGGCAGGGGATTTAGCTCAGTGGTTCTGGCACTTGTCTTGCAAGCGCAAGGTCCTGAATTCGATTCCCAGTACCCCCCCAAAAAAGAAATCTAAGCACACAGAGATATGCACAAAAATATTTATAACAGAATTACTTGTGAACAGCCAAAGACATAAATAACCCAAATGTCCACCAACAGGAGAATGGTCAAACAATATGGTATGTTGATACAATGAAACACTATTCAACACAGAAAAAGAGTGAATTACTACTATACACTATAACACAGATGAATTTCACTGACATAATAAAAAGCCAAACACAAAAGACTACTACGTTAAATTTTTTTTTTTTTAGACAGGATTCTCACCATGTCAACCAGCAGGCTGGCCTCAAACTCACAATCAGTCTACCTGTCTCCTAAATCACAGGGACCGGCTTGCACCACCATGCCCAGCTATACTGAATAAGTCTACTTACATAAAATTCAAAAGCAGCTAGGTAGCAATTTTCTATTTTATAGGTGATAATCATATAGGCATCTGATTTATAAAACTTCATCCACTGATCTAATTTTCATTGTATGTAATTTACCATGATATTCTTGCACAATACATGTTTTTAAACTTCACAAATCAAAGAAGTCCATATCCTCCTCCCTCAGCCCCAGCACTCTTCTCTCTTTCTAGCAGCCAAGTTGCTTGAGTGGTTTGTACTGTCCTGTTATTTTTCATTTCACATTCACCTCAAGCCCATTTTGTAATGGTTTCTACTCACAGCCTTCCTCCCAAATGACTTTTACTCTGGTCACCAGTAATCTCCAAGTAATTAAACCCAAATGATATTTTTCAAGCACATCTTATTAGATTACTCAGCAGCTATAACCAAAGCACACCACTCCTTCCTTAAAATGCTTTCCCTTGATTTTCCAGGGCTAAGCCCTCTTGTTATTCAGTCTCTCCAGTCACTCCTCCCCCATTTTCTCTGCTGGCTTCTTTCTTTCCTACCTAGTTTCAAAATGTTGTTGCTCTGCAGTGTGGAGGATCTGAACTCAGGGCCTTATGCAGGCTAGGCAAGCGCTCTACCACTAAGCTACACCCTCCACTCCTGATGCTGGAGTTAAACTCACTTCTCACCATGTATCTCCTCCCACCCATTGCCTTACGGTCTGCTGGTGACTCCCACACACAGGTTTCAAACGTCCCAGGAGCTCCAATTCCACTCCAACATGATTTCCTCCTCAAACCTGATGCTCCTGCAGAGTTCCTTATTTTGGTGAGCTGCATCATTATTTATGCCATCCACAGTGCCAGGGAGCACGCTTCTCCCCCTAGCACAGGGCATTATTACCAATCCCTGTCGTCATGAACAGCCTTCTTCGCTGGTCTTACACCACCACCCCATGCTAGCCACATCAACTCCAAAAGCCCAAATGGCTTCTGCATCTGCTCCTCATGTCAAACTCCACACACAGTCAAAGCGCTCTTTCCATTTTAATTTCTTTATTATTTTGGTGCTAGGAATTGAATTCATGGCCCCATGCATGTTAACCAAGCACCCCACCACTAAGCTACACCCTTAGCCACATTTTGTGCTTCTGAAATTATTTTCTGGGAGGAAAAGGAGATTTTAAAAAAGAATTAAGATATATTATGTACATGTACCATCTCCTCAAAATGAATGCAATCATTATGTACTGCAAACATGTACTAATAAAAAAAAAGACAAGACAATCGTTCTTTGTTTATTCGGTACTAGGGATTGGACACAGGGCCTCTGTACTGGGCTACATCCCCACCCTTTCATTCTGTTTTCAAGATAGGCTCTCACTAAATTTGCCAGGCAGGTATTGGGAACCCTCTGCCTCAGACTCACAAGTGCCAAGATTACACGTAGGCACCACCACACCCAGCATAAAGTTTATTTTTAACTTCTGATCCAAATCCATGCTTTTCAAAATCATTTTTCAACTTCTTTATATATTGCTTTATCCAGAACACATTTATTTATTTATTGGGCAATTTAGCAAGACCCTGTCTCAAAATTTAAAAACAAACAAACAAACAAAAAAAGGCCTGGGGATACAGCTGAGTGCAAAGGCCTTCAGTTCAATCCCCAGAAGCCCCCCAAAAAATCCTCCACAAATCAAGCATCAAACATATATTCCTAAGGAAACTTTATAAAGTAAATTAAGAGCAACCACTAGATAGTTATCACTAAATAAAAATTACAGTCATTATTTTGGACTGATCGCCTACGCTAGACCCCAACATACAAGACCACAAACAAAAGTGGTAGCACTCACAAATTCACAATGCTAAAACAAAGTTATTATCTGATCTCAGAAACCAGGGAAGGTGAAAGACAAATTTCCCAAACAGGCCAGTTTCAATGGCCATCTTAATAAAGTTCTCCTGCTTTAATTCTTATCAACAAAAATGAAACCTAAAATAACCTAATATTAACTAATTGTGACACCAATCAATTGTTCTTCTTTTCCGTTTTTTTGTTGTTTTTTTTTTTCCAGATAGAGTCTCAAGGATTTGAATTTATGTAATCAAGGCTGGCCTTGAATTTGCAGCAGTTCTCCTGGCTCAGCTTCCTGGCTCAATTGGTTTTCTTTCTATTTGGTACCAGTGATCTAACTCAAGACCTAGTGCTTACAAGGCAAGAAGAAGCACCACTGAGCTAAATCCCAGCCCTCAGTTGTTTTTCTATTATTCTGTTTCTCTACTCCCACTTAACAAGGAAAGTAATTTTAAAACAATCAATTTTTGTTGTTGTTCTTGCTTGTTCCTTCTTTAGCTCTTTTTTGTCTATAAAGTCAAGCTCATCTGCTAAATTCAAAGGAATATTCGTTCTACTTTATAGAAAGAAGTATTGTCTTATTTTAGTATTCAAAATAAAGCCAAATAAAATCTTTACATTGTTGTAGCCCAGCAAAGTGGTACACACCTGTAATCCCAGCACTCTGGGAGGCTGAGGAAGGAGGGTCACAAATTCAAGCAGTCTGGGCAACCTAACAATTTAGCAAAATCCTGTCTCAAAATTTTAAAACAAATAAATATGTAAAAGAGCTGGAGACATAGCTCAGTGTGAAAGCCCTGAGTTCAATCCCTGGTGCTGCACAAGATGGGGGGGGATAAAATTTTAACTCACTTGAGCTTAAAGTTTAAGACTACCCACTATTATTATACTTACTTTCAAACCTGTACAATATTAGTTCTGAAGAAATTTCTGTAGTTGGTTACATTACCTTTTAATGAAAAATGAATTTATTTTGAAAATTTAAAATAATCTGAGACTAAAGTAAGGGTTCTCTTTCTGTATTCAGGTCAAGCCCAAACAACCATTTATTTCACATGTTCAAAAATGTTAAAAGCATACCATTTAAATCTGCATTTTCAAATCTGACCCAAACAATTTTCTCCTTTTCTTCAGTTAGAGGTGATCCACTGTAAGCCTGCATAATAAACAGAAATGTTTGAAGAAAAATATTTTACATCTATTACTGGCTCAAAACAAAGAGTGACTTCAATCAAGTCAATTCTATGCCTCTCCAACTTCACTGATCCTGAATCTTAGTAAATACCACATTTTAGAACATTATTTCTCCCAAAGAATGTTTATCTAGAATCTGATTTGCTTTGGTTTAAAGTTTTCAAACTATAAAAAAATGCTGGAACCCAAAATACAATGATCAAAATCCACTATAAAGCACAAATATAATTTCAAAGGCATACCAAAAAACTAAATTACCACCTGTACTAGTAAACAAATAAGGCAGCTTAGGAAAAAAAGCAAAATTGCTAACTTCATCTATTTAATTCCTAGGCGTTTTTAATCAGGCAATTGTAAATTACCTACACTTCTCAAGATTATTACTGTTGTAATATGTTATCTGACTTCCTACAAGCCTGCAAGGGTCACAGATATAAGTATTAAGGGCTGACAGTAGGCCTCCGTATTAAAAAAAAGGAGTCATCTTTCCATAAAGCACTTTTTTTTACACTTGATCTTAGCCAAAAGGCCAAGAAGCAAAATAAAGCACTTTTTTTAATTTATAAAACTTAGAAGATTGTATAGAGCCAGGAGCACTGGCCCACACCTGTAGCCACAACTACTAGGTAGGCTAAGGCAGGAGGACTACTCTAGCCCCAGCCCGGAAGTTCAAGGCCAGTGTGCGCAACACAGCAAACCAAACAGAAGAATATATATTATATATATATTGTATTTAATATATATTATATATTGTATTTAATATATATTGTATATATTGTATTTTATAATATAATATATATTGTGTTTAATATATATTTAATACAATATATTAATTTAATATATTATAAATTTATAATGCAATATATATAATATATTGTATTTAATATATACTTTATATATTGTATTTTATAATATAATATATA